CCAGACCCGTCAACTCTCTCGTACAAACCATGACTTGAAAATCTTATTACAGTGTAATTTCAAAAAAAATATTTCATCGATAAAATAAGAATCCAATGTAAATAGTAATAACAATGCGACACCTACCGTAAAAATGCAAAAAGAAACTTAGTTGGTCTCCATTGTAGCATTTTGGTCCGCCATGACAGCATCTTCGTTTTACTTGACCAATCACAGAGAAGCAAAACGAAGATGCTGTCATGGCGGGCCAAAATGCTACAATCCCAAATAAGACTCCTTTAGCATTTTTACGGTAGGTGTCGCATTGGTATTACTTTTTACATTGTATTCTTGTTCAATCTACAGACATTAGGTTTGAGCTATGGATATAGCGGCTGCTATTTCATAGCTGCTATTCATAGGCACTATTTATCTCGTTTTAATGCATTTATGCATATTGTGCGTTATTTTCTACATCTCTCTCGTACTCACATTCAAATGTACAAGAAATAGTAGGCTATGATATTCCTACTCGGTGTTACACACAGCACACGAATTAAATAGCGCCTATGAATAGCACCTATAAAATAGCAGCCGCTATAAGCATAGCTCGAGCCTAATGTCTGTCAATCTATGAAAAAAAAATTGAAATTATTGTTATTTTTAAACAAACAAATTTAAAATATAGAGAATTTTTATGAAAAACGTAAGAAGAATATTTTATGATATGTTTCTTTTTTTACTCGACCGTTTAAAAATTATTCATGTTGAATGAAGAGCTTATATATTGCCAAGCCAAAAAATGTATTATTGTGGAATGACATAGAGTGACATTCACATCAGCGCCGTATATCGGATAAATTCCGCTTAGCAAAGGGATAAACGTCGTACTCGGTCCTTTCCTTGGTTTCTGATCAATTGGTTCCCTTTTCTCTGCAGTGTCTTCGAAACTGTTATAAAACGTTTTCTCTTGGTTTGGACGCAGCCAGACTTCATATATCGTTGGACGTCCCTTTATCAAACAGAGAAGAAACACTATGATATTATAAAAAACTTCACCGATAAAGTAAATCATCATGTTTAAAAATACATTTAAAAATACTGTGTTTTGTTATGTATCATGAATGTCATTTCAAGGTGTTCGATGAGAAAAAAGCCGATTATTTTAGAAAAGCGTGCAAAAATGAATCATCGGAAAAAATGCCGCTTACATTAATCGACCATTTATTGGACTCCTATTTTTCTGGCCGATGTAGTGAGCGAATTATTAAAGAGCAAATGGAAACTGCATTAATGGCCGGCAGTGATACAACCGCGTACACCGTTTCTTTTGCAATTCTAATGCTTGCAATGCATCCTGATGTGCAAGAGAAACTTTTTGAAGAATTACATTCTTCGTACGATGAACAAGATGAAGAGACGTCATTCGAACAACTTCAGAAACTACCATTTTTAGATTGTTGTATGAAAGAAACAATGCGATTGTTTCCGGTGGCAAGTGTTATTGGTAATAATTGACAATTTCATTAAAAAGCTACTTTCATTCAAAGTTGAAACAATATTTTATAGGTCGGACCTCAAATGTTGACATTCCAATTAGCAATTGTACCATCCCAAAAGAAGCCACCATTATTATGTCGATTTTTACTTTGCATCGGGTGAGTTGAAGAACTTTCTTTGTAGCAATCAAAAATATTTTCATCGAAATTTTATTGGATTAAGCGTCGTGATAAATTCAAGAGTCTCAATGAAAAGCGGCAAAAGAACAATAACGTCATTTTTTGTCAAATAAATTGAGTATGATGAACTATTTAAAATATTTTAATCATGGTTCGGTTTTATTGAAAGAAAAAGTTTCCAGTTGAAGTTGATGAAAAAATTTCACCACAAACGACGAAATTCCGAAAAATTCAACTTTGGAACACAAAAAACATTCAGCATAAAAGTAATTCACCATTTCCTTCGATAGAGAAAAGATGTTTGGGGCGATGATGTCAACGAATTTAAACCAGAACGTTTTTCACCGGAAAACGTCAGCCAGAGACATCCGTATGCATTTCTTCCATTCAGCTGCGGTCCTCGTAACTGTATTGGTATGTCTTGGTCTTCATTTTTTTTTACCGATTTTGTTAAATTATTTCTTTCACTCTTTTCTTCTCTTTTCTTCCTGCTATCTACCTTGTAATTCATTTTTAGGTTATCTGCAAGCAATGATATTAATGAAAGTGCTTCTTTCGGCATGTGTACGAAATTTTAAATTGTCGACACATCTTAAAATGTCGGAACTTGAGCTGAAATACGACGTAACACTCAAATTAATCAACAAACATTTGGTTTCGATGGAAAAACGGGCTTGGTAGATTAAGAGTGGTGTAAAAACCCAAATAAAATTTTATTGAAATACACTGGTGCATTTATAGATTTGAAATGAATTGGAAAAAGTTCAAAATAACCAAACGGGAACATTCATGCAAGAAATAAAAAATGAACATTTTAAAAATTAAAACCTTTTATGAATCACAGTATATAATAATTTGGAGTTTTCTGTATATATGTGAAATTGCTTCGAAAGATCTTTAGCCGACTTTTCATGTTTATTTTGGTCTCGTGTTCATTTGTACACAAGATGAATCGATACAAACGCCTGCACTTATGCAACTTGATTGTCTATGTCTATGTCTGTTGTCCAATGGTAATACATGGCTGCTCCACTCTAACTTCAACATTTCGTAAGTCGATGATTAATGATTAAATCATTATCACTGCCAACATAAACTGACCCAAACCAAGTTAAACACGCCAAAAACCGGTAACTGAAATGAGAACACTCTGTCAGCAATCAAAATGTAAAAAAAACACACATGTTCTGATCGCAGGTATTTCTTATGAATTTCAATAGCTCTTTGTGCTGTAAATGAATCAAAGTTGTGCAAATGCTTTCAAAATGATGCAAACGTTGTCACAGTCAATTAATTTTAATGAAGTTGAGAATTTGATCGACCATTGTAAACGCAAAAATGTGATTATAAACAAAATCTGTTAACGCTGTGTTAATGCACTTTGTGATCAAGATTTAATGTTTAAAACGTATGTGCAAATCAGATTACGGCATTCATGAGTTGAATTGCATAGTTTTTATAGCACTCTTTCGTGTGCAATAAAGATTTTATGACATTACTCTTATTTTCTAACGGGAAATCGCAGAATTTGTTTTCTTTCACATGTGCCGGTGAGAAGAGCGAAAGTGGATCCACAAAGATAATTAATTCACATAAAATTCGAAGAAAAGAGTTTCATTGGCAAATTGAATTGTAATAATTCTAGCGATAAACATGCAATGCTCGCTTTTTAATTCATTTTATATCGTCAAATCAAATAGCTTCCAAACACGCCATTCGACAATTATGAATTATGTCGACGGTGGCCAGATTGCATATGTGCCTCTCTCTACACTGCCTTTTTCTCTCTCTCTCTTTCTCACCATTCGCCTTCATCTTCTTCTTCCATGTATGTCCGACATGTGCGTAAACATTATCGCTGGCACAAACAAAAGACGGCGGTTGTATGTGAAAAGTGAGTTTTCTCCCCGCTGCATGTGCCCCACATACGTAACTTCCATGGGAAAGAGTCAATAGGTGACGCATAAATTGCGTTATGCTTGATTTGATGGCATCGAAGCGTAACGCTTGCGTTTGCATTTGTGTGCATACGCATTTGACGTGAAGAAATTGTTTATTTGTTTTGAGGTCAACACATTTCAGGGGCCCACATTTCTGCACTTGGTATAATTGACTTGGAACAAATGCAACTCGATTGCATATTTACCACACGCATGAACAAGGTATTCATTCATTTACCAGCTATTAAATCATTTCATGAAATCTCATAAATATAAGAAACTTGTAATTGGCATGTATTAGATACATTTGGAGCTAAAAATAACCTTCACTTACCTTCTAGCGCCGCCATAGATTTAAACAACATTCTTTAGCCAATTTGACCGAATGTTCGCTGGCGATTTTATAACGCACTTTGAGCTTCGAGCATAATCGAATTTAAGCGACTGATTTTTGCACATTTTTTCAAGTTTATCTTTTTTAAGAATTTTTACTTGCAATAATTCATTTTTTTCGACTGTTTTGATTGTAAACGAATTTTCATTGAACTAAAAGATCAAGCCTTGTTCTTTATTCTAACGTTTTTCTTGAGCTAGAGATTCGAAATTTTAGAGGATTCTTGTATTTTGTGAATTTTTCCATGTTTTTCGAATAAAAATTCGGATTTTTGTGAATAAAATTTGATCTTTACGAAGACTTGGGCAAAGTCAGTAGAATTTCTCCTTCACAATACAATCGACCCATTTGCGACTCTTTCAAAGACGAGACATGTGCGACTCTTCAAATTGGTTTTCTCATTTCTAAAAATAGCCTTTTCAAATTTCTCATAAACGTCACAATTGACCAAGTGGTCAAAAGAAGTTTCCGTTCCAACGTCGACTTTATTTTTTGTTCCCTTAAAACCTATAATCATTTCAATCGGTTTGTAGTAAATGTTTCATTTCAAACTACACTGTGTGAAATTGATACTTTGCGAAAAAGTGAAAGAACGCATAAAAAGTACTGTTGTTGTGCGCGCGCGTGTGTCGGCAATAGCACACGACAACAACGTCGGTGAAATGTAAGAAATGATTTAAATTCAATAAATTTCAGCGGGTAATAAACCATGCCGAAAATATGATGCTGTTTCCGTGCATATGGTCGGATAATGAACCGTCATTAGTTACGTATTTGATTGCGCGGTCGCGCTCATTTCATTTTCTTTCATTTTTGTTGCCTCTTCTTCTTCAGCTTGGGCCCAGGTGCGATGCTTCTTTTGTATTCGTTTAGTGCGACCGACTTTGTCGAGTCAACAACATTTTACAGTGCTTTAGTTTTTCATAACAGTAGTTTTTTTTCGCGCGCTGCTGAGACAAAACGCATTGTCGCACGTGCGCTTTCCGACTATAAATACATGTGTCTGTTGAGTGGAATGGGTTTAGTTCGACTTATCACCTCGTTGAATAAAGATATATCCAAGTGAAAATTAATTGCAATTGCAAGAAAAAATGATTGCAATCGCGTTGCTGGTGTTTTTAGTGGTGACCGGATTGGTGAAGTATTTCCTTCACATGCGGCACTTTGAAAGTTATGTAAAACACGTGAAAATGGGTAATCGATCGTTTCCCTTTGTGGGCAATGCGTGGTCATTAATCGGAAAATCGACAGCGAGCTTATTCAAAGAAATTGTCGAAGTGACAAAGCTAAATGGAACCCCATTGAAGGGCTATATGGGACCAGCGTTGGTTATTTCATTGGACAGACCTGAGGACATTAAAACGGTCCTAATGTCACCAAATTGTCTCGATAAACCCTATTTATATCAATTTTATCCGAGACCATGTGGAATTTTAAACGCACGATGTAAGAGAGAAGATATGGTGCAGTGCAAAAAGTGATTTTACTTGAAAATAATTTTGTTTTTGCTTTTTTCCATCAAAAAGCCGGTGCATTCTGGAAACCGATTCGAAAGCTGATGAATCCATCGTTCAATTTGAAGATTTTGCAATCGTTTGTGCCGATTTTCAATGAGAAAACACAAACTATGCTTAGTAAATTGGACAACGAAGTTGGAAATAAAAATTTTGATATTTTGCCATTCATGAACTGCCTAACGCTGGATATGGTCTGCGGTAAATTAACGTTTTCATTTCACATGCAAAAATATACGCATTCATATTCGGAAAATTGTTTATCTCTCTTTTTGCAGCGACAACAATGGGCTTTAATATTAATTCGCGTGATGGAAACAGCGCATTTCTGCATAGCATTGAAGCGTAAATACAATTTTTTCTAGTTTTTTTTTTTGTTCGCATTTACTTCATTGTGTGTTGCAATTTGTGATTCGTTACTGACAACCTCGTCATTTCCTACGTGTGTGTCGTTTTTTTTAGTTTCTTTGACATCGCTGCTAAACGTATCATGAAATTTTGGACTCATTTGGATATTATCTACCGATGGACGGACTTGTACAAAGAAGAAAAAGTGCACTTGGAAAACCTGTTTAATCTCACAAACGAGGTAATTACCGTTTCAATATCGTGGAAAATTGATTAAGTTATCAGATGGAAACTGTTGATTATGTGTGAAGTTTCACAAGAAACCAATTTACTGATTGAAATGTGACGAGGGTTTCCAAAGAATATTTTACATTAATTTACATTGAAGAAACGCAGTTTTAGTGCAAAAAAACTCAGTTTTCGATCATTCCGAATTTTTCATTCGAAAAATGTTTCTATGTATCCAAAATTCCAGTGAAATGATTTAGGTTAAAATTCTCACAAAAATACAATGTATCGTTGCAACGTCGTACCAATCGTTCCAAAGCGATTGATCGACGTTCAAACAATGACATGTTGATTTTGTATCATCAAAATTGCCAATTTCCGCTAATAAACAATATTTCATTTAAAAATAGCTGATTTCATTCGAGAAAATGTCATTTTTCAGCCGCCAAACGTTTGAAACATCTATTCAAGAAAAACAATTTTTTTTATTATTTCATTCAAACAAGATATGTGAAGCCAAGAAATTGCAGTTCATTTCTGCAAATCGAATCGCTGAGCAGAAAATTGACGAAGATTCCGAGGAAACATATAAAACGCCACAAGTGTTGATTGATCAATTGTTGCAATTATATTTTACTGGAAAACTTGACGATAAAATTATTCGAGATCAAGTCGAAACGATTGTAATCGCTGGAAATGAAACTACCGCTTTATCGCTTTCATATATCACATTGTTGCTTGCAATGTATCCAGACGTGCAAGAAAAGGTTTATAATGAGTTGCATTCGATGTTTGAAACACAAGACGAGAAAATGACTTATGAACATATCCAAAGATTACCATACTTAGATCGCGTCATTAAAGAAGGTTTACGAATTAATGCCTTTTTAAATGAAAATTTAAATTAATGCCTTTTTATACGAAAAGGTTTACGAATTTTACCCGTGGTACCATTCATGATGCGTACAGCCACTGCCGACACACAAATCACCGATTGTACAATACCAAAGGAGGCATTCATTTTAATGAGCATTTTTAATTTGCATCGGGTGAGTTGAAACTTTTTTATTTTTTGGTGACTTTTTTGTGAGAGAAAAATTTCGCTCAAAAATTTCATCGGAAAAAGGGCAGAAAAGTGCAAAAATTGAAAAAATAAACTGAAAATTGTGAAAACATGAAGTTGTTTTTTTTTGAAAAGAATCGAATTTTTGACAAAAAAAAACGATTTCAGTGACCTTTTTTCAAGAAACATCAACATCATTTGAAAAATACCTTCATTTTCCATCCAATTAGCGACAAGATCTTTGGGGTGATGATGCTGAAGACTTCAATCCGGATCATTTCTTACCCGAAAATGTCAGCAAGCGGCATCCATTCGCCTTTTTACCATTCTCCGGAGGTCTGAGAAATTGCATAGGTAAAATATTTAATACACTGATTTGTTCAACGGCTTTTTCATATTTCTGCACTATGCAGTACCTTTAAGGCTTTTTCACGCGAAAAAAAGTGAAAAACGTTTACAAAGACTTCCGCAAAAAGTCGTAAATCATTTCAGTTAAAACTCAGTTTCATTGCGTTCCAAGAATAAATCATTCATTTCTCAACTTGAAAAAAAGGTTACAATTATGGGATGATCTCGATGAAAGTGGCCCTCTCGTCAATGTTGCGCCGCTATAAATTCACGACCGATTTAAAATTATCGGACTTGGAATTGAAATTTGAATTAACGTTAAAAGTCAGTAACCATCATATGGTAGGCATGGAGCGGCGTGTTTGGTGATCGTTCACGCACGTTCAAAATTTGCATATTTAAGAAATTAGTTGCGGTGTGTAAAAAAACCACAATTCAAATGGTATTTAAGTTTAAGAAATGTTTTTTTTTCTTTTAGGATGTAACTGTTAATAATGTGACATATTCAAATGTACAATATGGTGAATGCGATGTAATCTTGATGTATTTGATTGTGATTATTTTGATCGTGTAATTCGAAAAATAATAAAATTGTTGTTGTTTCAAATTCTCTATGATGTTTTGTTTATTCACGATGTTATACAATGTCCATTTCACTGTGAGCAATAAAAAATAAATTCGTTGACCGAAGTAACTAATGACCCCTTTCGCTTGAAACAGCGATTTAACTAATTGCAGCCACATAAGACTATAACATACAACAAAACGGACGTACAAATCGCTCCGAACAATTTATTGTCATATAGCAAAGGTAAAACAACAAAATTATATGTATCGCGAATAGCAATTATGTGATGGCTTGAAGTCGCTTCAAGTCCGATTTGCTCAACACAACAAATGGGTAATTTTCTAGGTAATAATGTTGAAGAAACCGGTGATTTATGAAGATATAACGTGACAAAAGTGAAAATTGATTAAGATTACGGTTAACCACTTTGAATTCTGAGCATACCATGTCAATGATTTTGATATGAAAACGTCGCGCTGAGGAACTAAATTTACTGCGCGAAAAAAAAACAAATGAAAAAGATAAGAAATAATCATGAGCTGCACTATTTTCGATATCAACTTCAAAGCATTGTATCGCATGTTCGAAATCACACGTGGAAAGTGGCACACTTTCGATACCGTGTGTAACTGACCACGGTCTATTCATTAGAGTGGCTCAAACTTTTGAGTTGAAATGACGTTAAACATCAACAGTTATTCACATGGAAGCGAAGGTTGGTTAGGAAATGAGAATCTTTTAAGTTGAACCGAGGTCATGGTTCACGCCTATAACTACCAACTTGATACCGCAAAATAAAAGTCGAAATTTTTCGTTTGACATTTGCTTTGATCGATCGGCATGTCGATCGGCTTAAAAAAAGAGAATTGTTTAATAATTTTTCCCAATTTTTTGGACTCGGATCGGATTCGAGCAAGAGCGGAGGTCATTCGGTCGGTTCTCGCGCCGATTTATCCATATTCTGATATTGGCATCAAATTTTTAACAACAGCGTTCAAACTTCTGAAACTTCATATTTTTCGACCAAATCTTTGGTTTAGATTAAGAATAATGATTTTCCGATATTTTTCATGCTACTCTATTATTCTAGTCTACATCTTTGAATTCATACAAAAACACCGCACCACATCAAATACAAATTACAATACACGTTTTTTTTGCACACCATTTTCGTCGAACTGTTTTGTATCTCTCATTCGTTACGAGATGATGATCAATGGTAATGAAGCCGGTTTTTGTTTTGGTGTGTTTTTTTTGTGCTACAATCTTCAAGAACTCTCAGACGATACGCTACTAAACAACGCGCATATATATTTAATGACTGTTATTCCAGACAGAAATAAAAATAGATTTGATGCTTGCTGCCGAAAAAAATGATTGCCGTTTGCTTATATAAAAGATTCAATGATTGAAGTTATTTCAGTTTATTTGCAAATCTTGTCACATTTGGTTTTGTTCTTAAAGTGGTTCTATAGCATTAAAATTCCACGATGCTGATTTTAATTTTATTATCAATTTTGCTGCTCTTCGGAGTTGTGAAATACATTTTGCACATGCGTCACATGGAAAGTTATGTGAAACATTTGCACATCAAACAGCCTGTCTATCCGTTACTCGGAAATTCACTGGAAGTTGTTGGAAAAACACCACAAAAGCTATTTGTTGAGCTTGTTGATTATGTTAAAGAAAATAGTACACCATACAAATCATATTTTGGCCCAGTTCTAGTAATTACGATTGATCGACCAGACGATTTTAAAACGATTCTTATGAATAATAATTGCCTGGATAAACCGTATTTCTATGGATTCTATCCATCTAAAGTTGGTCTTATGAGTGCGACATGTGAGTTTGGTTTCGCTGATTTTTATTGTTATTGATTAGAGAAATAAAATGCAAAACGAAGAAGAATCGATCAAAATATTAAATAATGAAAATGTCATTTATCCAATAACTTTATATGCTTGGTGAAGTGTAAATTTAATTTATAAGATGCAAATTATGTTGTTTTCTTTCGGATGCACACGTCGGATGTATTTTGTTTATACTTTCTTGAAGTGTTCAAAGGTCAATTTTTGCGAAGGAAAGACGCAAAAAAGATATAATTACTATGCTGTTGTTTTTTGTGTACTCTAATGTGCACATTCGCTTTATTATAGCATAGTGAACATTCATGACCGTATTTATTAGAAAATGTTTCTCTTAAAGTGGCCTTACAAAGGAAGAACAAAAAATGTCTTCTTCTTGACATTAAATAATAAATGAATAATAATCTATTATTTTGCAGCATCCGCAATTTGGAAACCAATTCGAAAGCTGATGAATCCATCCTTCAATCTCAAGATTTTGCAATCATTCTTTCCGATTTTCAATGAAAAAACCAAAATTCTCGTTGAAAATATTGAACGCGAATTGGGAAAGCCACATTTTGATATCAATAAGTACACAAGTGCTTGCACCTTGGACTTGGTTTCAAGTAAGTTTTATCATTTTTATTTAAGTAAATATCGCAAAAAAAAACGAGTAAAATGAATCCACTGCCAAACTGAGTTGGCGGTGGTGAATTTATTCGTTCTTTTGATTATTAAAAATGATATGTTCGCATAAAATTCAATCCCAAAATTGGAAGAATTATCTATAATTCATGATCATTCTTAGTTCTTTCTCTTACTTAAATGTCTAGAATCCTCACAATTAACACGTGCTATTTTCTATTTTTATCGGGAGAAAAGTGTTGAAGAATAGAAGTGCTAAAAAAAGGTGACAACAAATTAAGAAATGCGATAAAAACTCAGTGTGACATAACTGTCATCTTGATCGATGTCTTTTGTGGCAAAAGGCTAATTAGAATCAAACGTTTTAGATTTTTCAAAGATCTCATGTGCGATCTTTTGCGATAAAAAATAATGTGATAATTTAATTATGTAATTTTTTTATAAAAATATTGATGGTTTGCGTGCCAAAACACACGATTTTCATATGCAAACTCCTTTTGCTTCAGATAAAGAAATTCGTACAATTAGTTGATTTCGATATAATCTCATCTTTTTTTATCTTATCTTTATTATGCATCAACTCTCTCCATACCTCTTTCTCTTATTTCTCTCAGTCTCAACAGCCAGTAAACTCGCGAACTGGCCAATGCTAATTGATTTATAACATATTACCAAATCTGCGGCCGAAGAAAATGTTTATCAGAAAAGGTAGTATTGTTCAAGGCCTCCACGCCTTATATCATCACGGAATGAAATTAATGGAATCGGAGAGAGCGAGAGAAAGAGCAAATTTGAAAAAGAGAACGAGAGAGGCCAAGAGAAAGAGTGAGAAAAAATGAGATGAAAAGCGAATGATCAACATAATTGGCCGCGTTTTATGCATAATTTCAAAACGTTTATAGCATTCAATTTCATCGATCAAAACAAGTTATGCATATATTTTTATGCCTACATTACATGAAAGCTCATTATCGATTCCATATCGATTACATCGAACATTTGTTGAAATTCTTTATTCCGGTCGCTACCGATTCAAATGGCACCAACGCCATTTATTTCACCGTCACACATTTATGCCAAAAATATGAGCACTGCATTTCTTGTGAAAAGATCAGTTACTTTACTGTCACTTCTTCCAATTTACGATAATTGAATTTTAAGTGAATTAACATGTGATTTTATTTGTGAGCGGGTTTTTGTCATTTTTTAAACATTAAATTTCCCCAGAAACAACAATGGGATACGATGTCAATGTGCAACGTAATCAAAACCATGATTTCCTCCAGGGTATTGAGGCGTGAGTGTAGCCACTTTAAGCATATTCATTAGCGATATAACGGCGTGAATTTTATTTCTAGATTTTTCGATATCGTCGGTCAACGTTTCATCAAATTTTGGACACATTTGGATTTTTTGTACCGATGGACGGCTTTATACAAAGAGCAACAAAAGCATTTGAATAATTTCCATAAATTAACAAAACACGTGAGTTGCGTTTTTATGGTCGTCGTTCAAAATTTAAATGTGTATGGTTTCATTTTTGCGTTGTTTTTTCATCGATTTCTAGATTTATCGTATCAAAAAAGAGGAGTTCATTACACAGAATAAATATAAGTTAATAGAGGAAAGTGATTCAGGTGAAGTGTATGGAAAACCACAGATTTTAATTGATCGACTACTTAGTTTAGTCCATGAACGTAAAATCGATGATCAAACGGCTATTGAAGAAGTTGGTACGAGGAAACTTTTCTCTAAACAAACTTGAGAGCTATTCTTAACTTTGAACCAATTTGATACAGAAACCATGTTGATCGGCGGCACGGAGACATCAGCGTTAACTACATCATACGTCGTTTTGCTATTGGCAATGTATCCAGAAATTCAAGAACGGGTTTATGATGAATTGAAGACCGTTTATAAGACACAGGACGAAGATACGAGCTACGAACATCTTCAGAAACTAAGCTATTTGGATCGAGTTATTAAAGAAAGTTTACGATTACTTCCGGTCGGTTCATTTCTTGTACGACGTGCCATAGGCGATGTTGAAATAAGCAATTGTACAATACCGAAAGATAGCTATGTGCTATTGTCGATTTTTAATTTGCATCGGGTGAGTTATACCATTACATGGGCTTTGCATATCGTATAAGAATTTGGAATTCAAGTGTGAATTCAAAATTAATACCGATTTTGTATTATATTTTCAAAAAAATTGAAAAAAAATCGTAGAAATTCGATGGAAATTGTGTTTCCTCTATTTTTGAATGAACCGAACGAGATTTCGTCAAAATTCAAATATCCTTCTTTTTCCATCGAAAAAACATTTCGTCAAAAAAAATTGAATAGTTTCAAAAATATTTGTTCCACAGAGAGTCGATATTTGGGGCAAGTCATCCGATCAATTTAATCCCGATAATTTCCTGCCTGAAAATGTTTCGAAACGACATCCATTTTCCTTCATTCCATTTTCGACGGGACCTCGTAATTGTATTGGTAATTTCTCTTTTAAAAAACTTGTTTCAAAATTCTCTTTCTACGTGAAAACCCAACAAAAAATAATCTTTCGTAAAAATTCACTTCAAAATCATCAACTTGAACTTCATCTCATCCGATCAAAATTCACCAGCATTAAAACCACACTAAAATATACCAAGTAACGATTATCTAGCATTTTTCGCCTATTTTTGTGCTTTGGTGTCGTTTAAATGGACCGAATTTGCATAGATTGTTGTAGTAATTAATAATTAATTACTAATTATTGGTTTCGTCATAAAGGTTATCTATATGGAACGATGTCAGTGAAGACGATGCTATCAGCGATTTTACGTCATTATAAATTCACGACAAATTTGAAACTATCAGAGCTAGAGATGCGATTCGCAATTTCGACGAAATTGTGCAATGGACATATGGTCGGTGTGGAGAAACGTGTTTGGTAGCGCAATCAATGACGTTTCCAACGCATTGTTCCTGTGATATTTGACCTTTTTCATCGAATTGAATGATTTTATCGCGATTTAATGACATGTAAACAAACAATTAAATGATATTTTAACCCATAACATTGTAGTTTCCATGTTGTTCTAGGCAATTTTTTTGTTAGTGGGTCGAGGAAAGTTGTTTTATTATTGGCACAAATCATAAAATAGGTAAAAGTTAAACCGAGTAACGAAAAAAAAGTTTAAATAAGAAATACTTTTAGTTTTGTCGAAGGTCCGGCGTTGTTATGCAAAGCAAATGATGTTAAAATTCAACCATATATACAATTGCTTTCTTATCTCTCGCTCTCTGTTTTCATTTTCACACATCTCTTTCGCAAGCGACAATCGTATGCGTATCATAAAAAACAGTTACTGCTCTTCCGAACCGATTACATTGCCGCTATTACCACTGTTATTGCGTCTTATGTTTTGATTTACTTTCGCTTTTGTGTGTACACGCGCTCTCTGTTTGTGAACGGGTTAACGGCTTTGTGAAACGATTTCACGAACGAAGTGAGTGAAGTGGAAACGAAAATGTTCTTGTGGGAATCTCGCTGTTTTGATTGGAAATCATCTCATGTTCTCGGAATAAATGATCCATTGAAGAAAATTTATTCGGGAGAAAAGAGAATTAATCCATGTCAAGTGACATTTATCATTTTCATCGGATTTATTCGAATTTACCGTTTTTATTTCTCAATTGTGGGCATTTTTATTGCACCAAATAAATTCTCCCCACCAAAGTGGTTTAACGATAAACATTTTATTTACAAATTTTAAGAAATTTTAACAAATTTTAACAATGAACTCTATTTTTGTTGAATGAAAAACTTTTATTGACAAATATTTGATGTCTTAAAGGTGTGAAATTTTAAAAATTTATCCGAACCGTTCGATATATTCATCGCAATATTTGCTATTTAACTGCAAAACAATGTTTTCATCGTCAGGTAACAGTTTTAACTCGAACTCACTCGTTTTTCGTGTAGTGAAGTAACTTGTGCAAAAATATTTACTTCTTTTTCATATTATTCTTGCTAACGTTCGTTCTACACAACATTGCACTTAAAAACCGTTTTTTTTTGTTTGAACAGAATGACAAAAAATTGTGTGTGCATAACGTGTAGGAATTGAAGTCGATTACATTTTCCTATGTCTCAATATAAACCTGTATTTTTTTAAATTCATGCAATCTGCTATTCTTTTCATTCCCTTTCACAAATCACGTTAATTATAATCATATCTGCATGGCTCTTGCTGTCGCTGTGTAAAAAGCACATCGACGCACACGTTGAAAAGTATTCATTGACTTGTAACGATGTGTTTCACGTTTACAACAAGTTGTTAAGTGAGATTTACAATCGATTAAGTTTTATTTTCTTTATACGGTATGAACGAAGTTATACACTTTTATAGTACGACAAAACCAACAATTATTCATGTGTTCTACATTTAGTTCTCATTCATTCTCTATATTGATGTGCTCTGCTTTTTTACTCGGTGAAGGTTACTTTTTCGGACGATGAATATGTTTGCTCTCGAGTCGTCTGCGGTTTTTAAATAAAAATTAATTTGATTTATTAATTTCGTTTTTTTGTCGGTTTTGTTGTTTTTGTCACACACACACACACACACTTGTGGCAAAAGTCGAATGCATTCTTAGGGAATTAGTCGAAAACCGGCTTTGAATTTATTGATTTTTTTTTATTTTTTATTGAATCCGGTATTATGTTAATTTTTTTGCTAAAATATTGAGTGAAAAGGACTGACTGGTGTGGTGTTTTTTACTGTTTTGGTACAATTGAATACACGGTTTTCGGAAATTCCGCATTTTTAAGTGTCGATGACTTTAAGCAAATTAAAATTTTTAACCTAATTTTGAATTCGTTTGGACTAAAATATAAGTTTTCGTATTAAGTTTTGTGCAATTAGCTGAGTTTTGTTACTAAAGAAACTATCATATAAAACTCCTAAAATAGGAGTTTAATCGATTGACATTTTTTTACGACGAGATTTTTTTTTCTTCAGAGAATTATTTTTACTTTTCCGCACTGTGTGCAGAAAAGTATTGCAATCACCCCAAAAAAAATTAACTTGCTAAAAATTGTTTTTCTACGCGTTTTGGGTTTAGAGAAGCACAGAGCAACCATGTTAATGTGGGGATGTGGTATAGTGCACTGTACGCAAAATATCAATAGGTAATTTGTTAGCACAATAACTCTCCTTAGAGAATAGCAAATCCAAATCTGATTTTACAGGGGGTTGCAAGGAATAGGCTGGTATTGTTTTTGAGCGATATTCATGCATCGGTGTATCCATGGTGTACCCCTAAGGGGTATGGCATGCAAAAATTTGTTAATTTGATAACTCTTTCCCCAAATATATGTGTATTGGGGGGTTTTTTGGCACGAGAAAACCGAATCCGGCGTTAGTTTTGAGATACAATTAAGTTTTGACACA